TCTCTTTTTTTCTCAAACTCTGCTGCCATTGTGTTGCATCGTTGCTTTTTTTCTCTTTTCCTTTTCATAACTCTGCTGTAAACAAAATACATTTCAAAATATCAATTCAACCAGAAACATTAATAACATTTGAAAAACTCACAGCAAATTCTAATTGATTTGCTTGTGACACATAATCTGAAATTTTGTTTGCATTAAAACAAGAACAAAAGCAAAAATAATTCTCATTTTCTTAAAATCAACAAATGATTTTCTCTATGAAAGTAAAGTCTTTATTGAAAGCTTCCATAAACGAGAAAATAGGTTTTGATGATTGTTTTGTTCCATTTTAGTTATTCGTTCAATATTACTTTCCATTACCACTCGGTTTGGATGTCCTTTTGGAAGACATTTTTCACAAATAGTCAATGCTCTGGCAAAACTTAATTGAGCATCAGAGAATAATCCTACACCGATCTGAATTGTTCCTAAATTGTTCAAGAATGAGGCGACTACAGGAGAATCAGATGGTACACAACGTTCAAGAAGAGCTAAGGCTCGTGTAGCTAATTCAAGTGCTTCTTGATCATTGCCACAGCTATGATAAATATTAGCTAGTATAGCTAAATTTGTTGACAAGTTCAATTCATTTCCAGTTTCAATCGATTCATTCAAAGCTACTGCTTGTTGAGCATAATTAAGTGCTTCAGTTAAATTATGTTTACCCCAATAAGCATTTGCTATTCCAATAAGATTACTGGCGACTAATGTTTGATTGGTAGTATGAGCCAATTTTCGTATACAGAGAGCACGAGAATGATAATTTAAAGCTAAATCAAATTCATGAAGATTTTGATAAGCAATACCAAGTTCAGTCAGAGTGTTACTGATATCATCACCATTCTAAATGAAAAAAAACAATTATTTGTTGATGTAGTCAATAGAAAATGTTATGTGCATACCTTTTCTTGAATTCTGAGTGCTTTGCTATAATATATTATTGCAGTATGATAATCACCTTTCTTTTCAGTATATAATATACCAATTATCATGAGTACTCGAGCTGATTCATATTCCAAACACTGATAGATTGCAATAGCTTGATCAACTTTGCCATGTTTGAGAAGATCTTTTGCTTTAATCTCTTCAGGAGATATTATTAACGAGCTAGAATGAAAAAGATTCCCTTGAATATATCAAAATCATTTTTTTCCTCAGTCGTATCCAAAAAAAGTAGAAAGTTTTCCCATCCTGAGTGTGGAGGTGTAAGATGTGGCATGGGGATGTGAGTTTTAGTCTTCTTTTCACCAATATCGATATCCCGAGTTCGTGACGCAAATGGATTACAAAATAACTCAAAGTTTCTATATGTTATGGAAGAAACCTATTTAAACAATATACCTAGATCTACAATCGTCTAACACTGTTAACAAGGGTATGGGTGTGCCCACGTCCGCACTACAACTAACACCCGCACCCTGCACGCTTCATTCTGGTGGCATTGATTTTTTCATCAGTTTTCCTTTCTACAACCAACCGGTTTATCAACCATAACTCAAGAGAAAAGCTTTTATTACGATCGCGATTACCTGTATTATCAAGAAAGGTGTCAAAATCGGCTACTTTTATATGACGGTATCAGGTACAACAATTAGTCGAGATATCTAACATTACATCAATAGACATTCCATTTCTACTGTTGTGAATTCTGTAGTGAAATTTTTTTCAGAGCCCACAAAGTATTGAAGAAATCCGCTGAATTGTACTAGACTAAAAAAGAAGGTGTCTAACGTTAATCAATCTTCTCAATCTTATTTTACTTGAATACAGAATAAATTTCACTTACTCAAACTTATCAAGAAGAATAGTCATTCTTGGTAATGATGCGATGTACAATTATTTCTTCGATACCCTTTGTTTGTGAGAATAAAAATAGAAGGGAAAAATTCATCTTGTTGCTTTTATACGCCATTTGAAAGGAAGAACAAAAAAAGGTTGAGACATGTATATACGTCATTTTGATTTCTTTTCCACTATTAATGACATACGGAGAAGCTTCCCTTGATTACCGCATGACTAAATGTGTCAACATAAACCAACGAAAAGATGTGCAAGTGGGATAGCAACGATTGAGTCAGCACGTCTTTTAATAACAAAAACTCATATTTTCAATTTAGCAAAGACATGCGTACGTTGCGTGTAGAATCGGGATTGAAGCATATATGTTCATATGTAACCAGTCATTGCAGGAGAAAAATTATTCCGTTATCAATAAAAAAGAACAACGATATCTTTTTTTTTTAAATATTGATATTTTCATTGTCTCAAAAATCAAATTTTCTCTTTTCTTCTCTGTTCTATATACCTAAGAATTGTTTAAGTAATATTTTATTTTCAAGCTTTCAATCAATTATTTTGACTATTTTTAAACTTTTTGCTTTTTCTTTTTTAATTGATCGGTTACTTTCTCGTTGAAGTTTCCATTTACCTGCCTGTAACTTTTTCTTTTTTGTTTTTTTCTAAGAAACAAATAATAGTAAAAGATTGATTATTATGGAGATGTAAACAAAACAGAGTAACCTTCATCTCATCTAATACTGAGAAAAGCAGACACATTTGCTGAATTCGTATGCTTCAATAAAGCACAACAGAACAGGACGAAATCTTCATACTCAGTAACTTTTAATATGTAACTTTTATTTAAAAAAAACTTTCTGGAGAAGTCTTGAAGACAACCCAGGTGAAGAAATTCGACTATTGAATTTGATCGGAGTCTATCGGGTTGAGTCCATAATCCAGTGACCCAGAATCAGAGAAACATTTAACTGAGAAATGATCTTATCGGATCCTGCGACGCAAACTTAAGAGATCCGACAAAATCAGATCGGATTTAAATGAGTGATATATAGCTGTTCTCGTTCCTATTCATTAGCATCTTCTTAAATATAATAAATCATTAGATTTACGACGCCAATTGTAAAAATCTACCGCCGACCTTTATTATTTATTTACTAAGAATCAAACACGAGATAAACCCAGATATCGTTATGAAAACGCAGTGCAAAGAAATTACCAACCATATCATGAAAATCGCGCAAAAACTGGCGAATTTCTCACAACTAATTACCTAGATTGGCAATTCTCCTAATCATTTTTCTGATTTTTATAGAAAATCACAATTATTTAATATTTATGATGATCAAACCTGGCCGTAATATTTGAATCTATAACTGTCACTATATGTCAACATGCCCCCCCCCCCCCCCCAATCACTCACCAACATGCTCATATATATTTCTCATGAAAAGAGAAAGAGATGATTTCTTGCTTCCGATACACAGTAACCAATGCAACTTTTTAAAATAAACAATGCTTGCTGACCATTTTGTTATTGAGATTTTGAAATGGAAAATTTTCTTGAGAAGTGATCTCTCGTTTGAAAATATCCGTCGTCCTTAATTGTTGTCTTTTTAATACAATGCTACTGAAACGTAGATGACGCTGTTATTCAACAATACTTCGGCAGGCATTTAAATTGTTTATCTTCATAGTTCATTTCGTATAGAAATAAATCCAATAAGAACGAAAGAAAATTTTATTAGAATACGATTAAATTTTCTTATATCTTAATTTATTAAATATCAAAGCGGAAACCTTTTAAGTGAATGAAATCGCACAACATAATGATGAGGGTGTCAGTGTGGACGAAGACAAAGCCTCTACTCTACACATATCCAAATCTACAACCATACCCGGCATCATAATATCATCAAGTGCTGTTCACATTCACTGAAAGGACATTTTGATGGTGGAAGATATCTTTTCAGAGAACCATACCTTTAGGCACCATTTCTCAGGAACATTTTTTCCGAAGAACATATGTTAAAGGATGTTTTAGCCTGTTGCCGTGAAATGGTGGTAATAAAAGAAAAGAAATATTTGTTGTTATGAAATAATAGTTACCGTTCATTAAGATGATCAGACGAACAAAAAATAAAGAAAAATATTAATTTTTTGTATAATAATATTTACTGTTGAAGTTTGTTGGAAAATCACCGATCAATCGCGATTTATTGTAATATCCAAAAGGTCAGTGATTAATTGTGATTTATCGACGATTTGTTTCGCTATTTAAAAACTGTCAATTAATTCCCGATTTTTTCCAGTGTCGCGATTGGTCGCCAAAAGTAGCGCAATTTTGATGGCATAGAAATAGATAATAGCACAAGGGGGAAACAGCGGACTTCAAGACTTCAAGACTTCAAAAGACTTCAACAGACTTCAACAGACTTCAGCCGCAGTGACTTCATATTTTCACAAGACTTCAAAAGACTTCAAAAGACTTC